CATCCCACGGTCAGCTTTACCTTGTGCACCATCACCTTGTGCACCTGAACCTTGCACAGCGCCACCTCGTGCACGTTCACCACTTGGCGGCTTCATGCTTGGAGGTGCCCATCCCTCAGGCCGGCTGAAACACTTGAACCACGGGTGTCCAGCCTTCTTGCAGTACCAGCACACACCCTCCATTCAGGTGCTCCCCCTGCCACCAAAGCTCCCATGCCCCTCATTGTAGTCACCTCGGCCTCTCCCTCTGCCAAAGCCTTTGCCACGGCCTCGGCCTCTCCCTCCCCCTCTTTCGTGCTGCCTCCTACAGCTCCATACCCCTCAGCAGTTTTGTTCGCAGCACCATATTCCGTGTGGCGCCTGTGGAAGTCCTCCTGCAGAATCTGCTGCCGTAGCCACTCAGGCGTCCATTTGTCCTGCTGAGCGTTTATGGTGGGGATGAGGTTATCCCACGAGTTGTCGAGCACCGAGATGATCCTGGTGCATTGTTGCATCAGCGACACTTCGCTGCCCGCCACTGCCATCCTTGCATAGGTGTCCTTGGTCCTGTCAAGGACTGGTTTCACATCATCTCCCGACTTCATGGAGAGGGCAGCCAACTCCTTCTCCAACACAATCACCATCGGCAGCGTGTTGGGCTGAATCACGTCGCGTAGCACCTTCCATGCCTTTGGTCCGGAATCATCCAACTCCACCAAATCTTTGATGTGCTGGAACATGTCGTTGTTGACCGATTGGAGGATGAGGTCGTACAGCACTGCGCTCTTCTCAATCCACTAATTGCGGGCATCTCCTTCCCCGGGCATCTTCTCCTCTCCCATGGCCAATTCGAGCAGCTTGTAGCGCTTGAAGGCGCTTCGCATCCGCCCTCTCCATTCCTCATAGTTGGAGCCATCCAAAGCTTCGATCTTGGATGGTGGCGGTTCACTGCTTTTCTCAGCTGCATCTCCACTCCCTTGATTCATCTCCTCTACTCCCAATCAGAGGTTTCAGCTTCTCCCTTTACTGGTCACAATGTAGATCCACACAACCTTCACAAGTATCGGCGCCAATGTAGATCCGCACACACTCAGAAAATCCAAACCGCACAAAACACAAATTCTTGCACACGCTTACACCACGCATGCAACACGGGAATATATGATGGGTGGCAAACAGATGTGAATGTAGATGATAGCATCACAAAACACCTCTTCGCACCGTGCTCAATGAATATGCAAGAATGGATAACAATGTCATACAATAACACAACGGTTTCAATGTCCATGCAATAATGGATGACAATGCAACACCACAACGGATTCACCATGTCGCGCAACCCGCACGCGTGAAAGCTGCATCGTCGCACAGTCTAACCATGGCTGTCGATAACGCATCTATGCTTGTGTGTTGGGCCTCTGCTTCATACAACTCCTTCTAAGCACCTTGTTTAATGTCTGTGCAAGAATGGATGCCAATGCCACACCATACCACAACGAATTCACCATGTCGCGCAACCCGCAGGCCTGAACGTTGCATCGTCGCACAGTCTAACCATGGTTGTTGATAACGCATCTACGCTTGTGCGTTGGGCCTGTGCTTCATACAACTCCTTCTAAGCACCTTGTTTAATGTATGTGCAAGAATGGATGCCATTGCAACACCATACCAGAACTGATTCACCATGTCGCGCAACCCGCAGGCTTGAACGCTGCATCGTTGCACAGTCTAACCATGGCTGTCGATAACGCATCTACGCTTGTGCGTTGGGCCTGTGCTTCATAGAACTCCTTCTAAGCACCTTGTTTAATGTCTATGTAAGAATGGATGCCAATGCAACACCATACCACAACAGATTCACCATGTCGCACTACCCGCAGGCCTGAACGCTGCATAGTCGCACACTCTAACCATGGCTGTCGATAACGCATCTACGCTTGTGCGTTGGGCCTGTGCTTCATACAACTCCTTCTAAGCACCTTGTTTAATGGCTGTGCAAGAATGGATGCCAATGCAACACCAGACCACAATGGATTCACCATGTCGTGCAACCCGCAGGCTTGAACGCTGCATCATTGCACTGTCTAACCATTGTTAGAGACAAAGGATGGAGTCTACGAAGATTAGGTGCCTAAAATTCTCAAAATCGTTGGCTTAGAATTCTGGACAAAAAAGTCGCGCTCACAAGAAACGCCGTCGACAAAACGTTCATCGTCAAAACTTCACCAAACTCAGATATGATGTAGCTATACTCCGTGGCTACAATTCCCAAGTTGAATCATACAAAACAGTGAAGTATTTCTTGAGTTATCAATTTCGGCGCACTAGGGGGTATGCTGCCATAGAATCTTAACTCTATCACAAGAGTCTCACTCAAGTTCACAATTACTACACAAGAGAGTTAGAGTAGCACTAAACCAGGTGCAAGGGATGAGTACGATGAGAGGGAAGGTCCCAAGAGAGTCCCCAACCAAGGAAACCCCTTGCCACACAATTCCCTTCTCCATAGGCAACCCCACTTTCACTTTTGTCACTTTCCCAACCCATGCCATCCACCTTGCCCAACTTGGCCACACTTGCCAACCTGGTTTGGTTTCTCCCATCCATTTGGCAGCAACTACAGTAGAAAAGAGGAATTTCCCGACCCCCAAAAGTCTGTACCCCATATTGAGTCAACCCCACCACTTCCCACAGTTGCCACAATCAAATATGAAAAACATACGAACTCCAACGTTCGCAACTTTCTTGTTCGTGCTCCGATTGAAGCGATACTTGGTTCGTCGGAAAGCTCTTGAGCAGAGGAGTCACTTCAGATATCTGCTCAAGCCAAATAACATTCACACACACTCAGAAAATTCAAACTACACAAAACACAATTTCTTGCACCTGCTCACACCACGCATGTAACGCACAAACATATGATGGGAGGCAGACAGACGTGAATGCAGATGATAGCATCACATAAAAAACTCCCCCTCTGGCTGCCTACAATCATCCCACATGCCATAGCTCACGCATGCACCCTCAATGCACACTCATCCCAGCAAGCTTCATGCCCTTCCAATGCTCAGATTCAGCCAGGCGCTTGGTGAGAATGTCAGCCGCCTGCTGATGGGTCTTCACAATCTCCAGCCGCACCTCCTTGTCCAGGAGCCTCCTCATCCAGTGCTACTTAGGCCTGATGTGCTTTGTCAGCCCATAAAGAAAGCATTCTTTGCTAGCTTCACCGCCGACTCATTGTCACAGAAAATTACAGTTGGCTCACTCTGGCACACTCCGATCTCCTCCGACAAACGCCTCAGCCACACCACCTCCTTTGCCCCATGATGCAGGGCCATGTACTCTATCTCACACGAGGACTGCCCCACCTCGTTCAGCTTCTTGCTGCGCCAGCTCACTGCACCTCCTCCAAACAGGCACACATAGCCTCCAATGGTGGTGCCATCTGCCTTCACAGAGTTGAAGCTGGTGTCGGTGTAGCAAGTCAGGAGCATCTCCCCCTTGCCCAAATCAGCTGCACCCCTCTGCAGCCTTTGTCTCACACCACTGTACTCCAAGCCCACTGATGCTATAGCGCGCACATACCGGACCAATCTCTTGGCCGATTCCAGCTGCTCATGACTGGGGCGTGCAACCACACTTGCAAGCCTGGATGTAGCAAAGGCAATGTCAGGCTGCGTGTGGTTAGCCGCATAATTGAGTGCCCCCACCATGGAATGAAACAACTTCCTGTCACTCTCACCCACCACCTCCTCATCAGCACAAGGCTCCACTGTGAACCCTGAAGGCAGTGGGGTGGCTGGCTTCCCTCCATTTTGCAGCCCATACTTCTCGGCCAGCCCCTCACACTATTTCCTCTGGTGCAACCTCAACACTCCCTTGTCAAGGTCCCTCTCCACATGCATCCCCAGGTAGTACTTCACATCTCCCATCTTGGAACACTTGAACTGCATCTCTAGCATCTCCTCTACACGCTCAATCATTGCAAATGACGTAGAGAAGAGCAGGATGTTGTCCACATACACCAGGAGCATGAGAAACCGCTCCTTCTCTTCTAGCAGGAACATGCTATGGTCACACTCACTCTTCTTGAACCCCCCAGCCAGCAGAGTCTCCTCTAGCTTGTGGTACCATGCACGAGGAGCCTGCTTCAGGCCATAGATGGCCTTCTTCAGCCTGCACACCCTGCCGCTCCCATCATCCAAACCCTCAGGCTGTAACATGTACAGCTCCTCCAGAATGATCCCATTGAGGAAGGCGGTGGTAATGTCCATCTGCTTCACCCGCCATCCACAGTTTGCTGCCATTGCTAGTGACACTTTCAATATTGTGCCTTTCCCTACAGGAGCAAAGATCTCATCAAAATCCTTCCCCTTTGTCTGCTGAAACCCCTTAGCCACAAGCCTTGACTTGTAGAAGGTCAGCTCCCTATCAGGTCCGTAATTATGCCTGAATATCACCTCGGAAGAAATGGCCTTCTTCCCAGGTGGCAGCTCACACAACTCCCACGTCTCGTTCTCTAGCAGAGAGTCATACTCCTCCTTCACACTCTGCTTTCATTTTTCAGCATCCGGCCCGCTCAATGCTTCAGCTAGCTTCTTGGGCTCAGGAACGGCTGCCCAATAGCAGTGTGCTATCTCATCCTCATCACACTGCTCAGCCACACTCCCAGCCCTCACCACCTTTGGCTTGCCAAAGCTCGGATAGGTCAGCCGGTTAGGAGGGCGCACATCCCTCCTAGGCCGGTCAGCCGAACGTGCGGCACCTTGTGGAGCACCTTGTTGCTGCTGCTGCTGCTGTTGCTCCTCCACCTCAGGTTCTCCCCCATCCTCAGTCACCCCAAAGATCTCCTCCTCTGAGATAGTGACCTGCACTTCTCTCAAAGGCCGCTGCACCTCGTCGGCCTTAATGATCAGCAGTGTAGTAGGAAGCTTCTACTGTTGCTGCTTCCACTCCTTATAGTACAAGGATTCAAGGAACTTCACATCCCTTGACACAGTCAGCTGCTGGCTGGTCAAGTCTCAAATCAGCCAACCCTTGTGATCCTTAGCAAGCCCCAAGTGCACACCCCATCTCCCAGAAGCTTCCAGCTTTCCCCTCTTCTCTTTAGGCACATGAAACACCACCATGCACCCAAAGGCTCTCAGCATGTTCACAGCTGGTGCACTCCCATACCACTCGGTGTATGGGACCCACTGCTTGTCCCCCACAGTCGCCAGCACCCTGTTTTTCACAAGGGCGACCTGGCGCAGTGCAGTCACCCAAAACGGATCCGGCAGCCCTGCACGCCCAAGGAGAGTTCGAGCACCTTCTTGCAGAGTCCTGTTGAACGGCTCAGCCACGTCGTTCTGCTGAGGGTTGTAGGGCACCGTAAGCTGATGCTGGATCCCCTTCTTCTTCAGCACCGCCTCAAACTCATTGCCAATGAACTCTCCTCCGTTGTCGGTGCGGATCACCTTCACCTTGTGTCCGCTCTCCCTTTGAGCTCTCGGCATCCACTCATTGAGAACAGTCGCTGCCACCTCGCCCTTAGTCTTCAGAGGGTAGACCCACACTGCACGTGTGTGGTCATCTACAATGGTCAGGAAATAGCGGCTGTCCGAGAGAGAAGGGGCCCTTGTAGGCCCCACCACATCCATGTGCACAAGTGCAAGTGGTGGCTTGGCTAGTCCTATGCTGCTGCTGAAGAGAAACTTTGTGAATTTGGTCTCAAGGCAGGTAGGGCAGCTCCCAATCTCCTTTGCTCCCCCCTTAACTCCAACCCCATCAAGTACCCTTCTTTTACCAATTTCTGCAGCATAGGAATGTTCACATGGCACAGCCTCTCATGCCATGTCTCCCAATTAGCCTCACCACTCCCAGATGAAGCCTTTGCCCATGGAGCTGTCGCATCCACACCAGCAAGCACCTCACAATGTGGCTGCTATGGCTGGTGCACCTTCTTGACTGCATCGACAGCCCCAGCAGCTGGTGCATTTTCCTCTCCTCCCGCAGTTGCTTTAGCCGCCGCCGCTGCCTTTGCCGTTGCTGGTGGTTTCCCCTTCCAAGGGATGATGGGCAGCTGCCACAGGTCCTTGATGCAGCTGCTCTTCTCCTCCAAGTTCCACAGCAGGAACTTCCCAAGCTTTGTACGGCAGCTGGTTGGGCCGAAAGTCACTTTTGCCTTGCTTTTCTGCAGCCGGCGCACGGAAAGAAGGTTAGCAGACAAACCTTCAACCAACAGCACATTCCCCAGCCCCACAAGCCCCCCATTGGCTCCCATGACCTTGGCATTCCCCACACCAATCACAGGGAGCAAAGCACCTGAAGTGGTAGTCACAAACTTTATCTTCCCAGGGGGCTTTACTTCGTCAAGCAAATCTGCCCGTGGGGTCATGTGACTTGTGCAACCTGAATCTATCACCCAGTGGGTGAGGGGGTGCATAAGAACCTTCCCAACTGAACCCACATCACCCCCACTCCCTTGCACATCCTCAACCATGAGGAACATCCAACGGTCGGCTTTACCTTGCGCACCATCACCTTGTGCACCTGAACCTTGCACGGCGCCACCTCGTGCACGTTCACCACTTGGCGGCTTCATGCCTGGGGGCGCCCATCCCTCACGCCGGCTGAAACACTTGAACCACGGGTGTCCAGCCTTCTTGCACTACCAGCACGCTCCCTCCATTTGGGTGCTCCCCTTGACTCCAGAGCTCCCATGCCCCTCATTGTAGTCACCTCAACCTCTCCCTCCGCCAAAGCCTCTCCCACGGCCTCGGCCTCTTCCTCCCCCTCTTCCTCTTCTGCCTCTTGCAGCTCCATACCCCTCAGCAGTTTTGTTCGCAGCACCACATCTGTGTGGCGCCTGCGGAAGTCCTCCTGCAGAATCTGCTGCCGTAGCCACTCAGGCGTCCATTTGTCTTACTGAACGTTGAGGGTGGGGATGAGGTTGTCCCACGAGTTGTCGAGCACCGAGATGATCTTGGTGCACTGTTGCATCTGCGACACTTCCCTGCCCGCCGCTGCCATCCTCGCATAGGTGTTCTTGATCTTGTCAAGGACCGGTTTCACATCATCTCCCGGTTTCACGGAGAGGGCAGCCAACTCGTCCAACACAATCACCATCGGCAGCGTGTTGGGCTGAATCACGTCGCGTAGCAGCTTCCATGCCTTCGGTCCGGAATCATCCAACTCCACCAAATCTTTGATGTGCTGGAACATGTCGTTGTTGACTGATTGGAGGATGAGTTCGTACAGCACCGCACTCTTCTGAATCCACCAATTGCGGGCATCTCCTTCCCCGGGCATCTTCTCCTCCCCCATAGCCAATTTGAGCAGCTTGTAGCGCTTGAAAGCGCTCCCCATCCACCCGCTCCATTCCTCATAGTTGGAGCCATCCAAAGCTTCAATCTTGGATGGTGGCGGCTCACTCCTCTTCTCAGCTGCATCTCCACTTCCTTGATTCATCTTCTCTCCTCCCAATCAGAGGTTTCAGCTCCTCTCTTTGCTGGTTTTAATATAGATCCACACAATCTTCACAAGTGTTGGCGCCAACGAAATTTCGGCAGAGTTTCCCCTTAGCGGAAGTCACATCCAACCTTCAGAACTCCACTTAGGCAGGCCGATAGGCCATGGTGGGTCTAGGAGGGTCTTTGCACTTCAGTGGACTCCCCACAAGGTCCTTAATCGCTCTGATACCACTTGTTATAGACTAAGGACGGAATCTATGTAGATTAGGTGCCTAAAATGATCAAAATCGTTGGCTTAGAATTCTGGACAGAAACGCTGCGCTCACAAGAAACGCCGTCGACGAAACGTTTATAGTCAAAAATTCATAAAACTTAAATATGTTGTAGCTCTACGCCGTGGCTACAATTCCCAAGTTGAATCATACAAAACGGTGAAGTATTTCTTGAGTTATCGATTTCGGCGCACTAGGGGGTATGCTGCCATAGAATCTTAACTCTATCACAAGAGTCTCACACAAGATCACAATTACTGCACAATGGAGTTAGAGTAGCACTAAACCAGGTGCAAGGGATGATTAGGATAAGAGGGAAGGTTCCAAGAGAGTCCCCAACCAAGGAAACCCCATGCCATACAATTCCCTTCTCCATAGGCAACCCCACTTTCACTTTTGTCACTTTCCCAACCCATGCCATCCACCTTGCCCAACTTGGCCACACTTGCCAACCTGGTTTGGTTTCTCCCATCCATTTGGCAGCAACCATAGTAGAAAAGAGGAATTTCCCGACCCCCAAAAGTCTGTACCCCATATTGAGTCAACCCCACCACTTCCCACAGTTGCCACAATCAAATATGAAAAACATACGAACTCCAACGTTCGCAACTTTCTTGTTCGTGCTCCGATTGAAGCGATGCTTGGCTCGTCGGAAAGCTCTTGAGCAGAGGAGTCACTTCAGATATCTGCTCAAGCCAAATAACATTCACACACACTCAGAAAATTCAAACTACACAAAACACAATTTCTTGCACACGCTCACACCACGCATGCAACGCACGAACATATGATGGGAGGCAGACAGACGTGAATGCAGATGATAGCATCACATAACAACCATGGCTGTCCATAACACATCTACGCTTGTGCGTTGGGCCTGTGCTTTATACAGCTCCTTCTAAGCACCTTGTTTTATGTCTGTGCAAGAATGGATGCCAATGCAACACCATACCACAACGGAGTCACCATGTCGCGCAACGCGCAGGGCTGAGCGCTGCATCGTTGCACAGTCTAACCATGGCTGTCGATAATGCATCTACGCTTGTGCGTTGGGCCTGTTCTTCATACAACTCCTTCTAAGCGCCTTGTTTCATGTCTGTGCAAGAATGGATGCCAATGCGACACCATACCACAACAGATTCACCATGTTGCGCAACCCACAGGCCTGAACGCTGCATCGTCGCACAGTCTTACCATGGCTGTCGATAACGCATCTACGGTTGTGCGTTGGGCCTGTGCTTCATACAACTCCTTCTAAGCACCTTGTTCAATGTCTGTGCAAGAATGGATGAAAATCCAACACCATACTACAAGGGATTCACGTTTGTTAGTATTGATAATCGTGTTAGAATGTCGTCCGCTGGCCCTAAACCATTGTGGCAAAGCCTAAAAGTGCACAGTACATCTGTCTCAAGTAATAATTCTTGACAGTCATTGTGTGTGTGACGTAGGAATCACTGATTTACTTACCCGAACCTCGTGGTAAACCATTTGCAACTTAGAGTTTGATGAAATGCATGGTTGTATGTTTGAATAAAATTTAGTGATTTATGCGTTGGCAACCGTGATTTGCCGACGCATCTCAAACGATTCCCCTCGCAACACAATCATCATCCAAGAGGTACTTCAGCCATTGAGCGGCTGAGATCGAGCGGTAGGTGGGTTTATGCTAGGGTGGCTACACGTACACCGTCCAATATAGCTTGATAGGGTTACATTACTCTCTCTAGTCTCGCAACCCACCCCAACCACCCTCGTGTCCCACCCACCTTCTGCCGTCACTCTTTGGACCAACACTTTGACGCTGCTCATTGCCTTGACACACACCTCTCCAGATCGGCCTTAGCGCAAAGCATAGTAGCTACTATGATAGATTTAGTTGAAGCGGCGGTTTTCGGAAACACATAACAGTGATAGACCGTCGATAATCCCATCGTGGGATTCAGTTGCAGAACCCTTTCGAAACCGGCTCAACCCTTGCGCGCGATTTGCAACTTTGCTCCTCCTACAATTACCATGACACGTGCAACACGTAACCAAGCAATGGAGGAGGAACAGGCCGGCCACTGCGCGACAAGGAGGACGTCTAAACAAATGGATAGGGAGTGTGGTGGCGGCGCTTAAAAAAACTAATGCGTCCGTCACTCGTGGCATTGGGCAGAAAAAAGCGGCGGCAAAAAAGGTCGCGCGCGGTCAACAGGAAGCCGTCAAGAAAGCGGAAGACAAGGGGCCTAAACCAACGCCACGCAAGCGTGTTTCTATAGTGAACAAAGATGCGGATGTTCCCTCTGCTGGAACCGAGCCCAGTCCGAGTAAAGACGGCACGACTGGCGGCAAGGAAGATTCAGGGCGAGGGAGCGCGAGTCTTGCACTCCCGTCGGCGGAGATGGAGGGATCGGGGATGGAGAGAAATCACGGAGGCGATCCCCGCGCCGAGCATGCCGCAACCTAGGAGTCCGAGGCGGTGGCAACAGAATACCATCTGACGCTCCTCCAGCCGACCGTGGTCGAAGTTTCTGCAGCCGTCCTGTATAAGGACAAGGTGGGGGAGCACGAGTCGGTGGGGCTGGTCAGTGGCTCTCCACCTTCTAGTGGACGGGGGAGGCGTAGGCAGAGGAAGAGCGATAGGGAACCTCATTACGCGGGCAAAGAGGCGGCAGACGACGGGTAGTGCTGACGACGCCGGAGGCGCGGCAGTTGGGACACCGTGAGGCGCCAAGGAAGCTAGTGGCAAGGCGGGCGGTCAAGCATTGTGCTAGAAAGGCCGACCCGCAGCAAGAAAAGCATCCGGTGGAAGGAGAGGCAAGAAAGCAGCGATGGGAACAAAGCCGAAACGGGGCGATGAAGACCCCGTTGATGCGGAGGAGGAGGAGGATAAGGAGGAGGATGCGGAGGGAGAGGAGGATGAAGAGGAAGCGGAGGAGGATTATGCGGATGTTAGGGAGGATGAAAAAGATGAGAATTATGGCAGGGAGGACGAAGAGGAGGAGGAGGAGGAGGAGAAGGAGGAGGAGGAGGAGGAGGAGGAGGAGGAGGAGGATGAGAAGGAGGAGGAGGAGGAGGAGGAGGAGGAGGAGGAGGCAGAGGAGGAGGAGGAGGAGGACGAGGAGGAGGAGGAGGAGGAGGAGGAGGAGGCAGAGGAGGAGGAGGAGGAGGAGGAGGAGGAGGAGGAGGAGGAGGAGGAGGAAGAGGAGGAGGAGGATGTGGCGCCAGTGAAGGGACGGGGCGGGCGTGGCAAACGGGTGAATGGTACAGGGAAGGAGGGGGGCCGGACTCGCCCTTCCCGAAAACGCGGGGCAGTTGACGCTGCGTGCGGCGAAGCATCGGGCAAACCGAAGGCGCGTAAGGTGAAGGTCGAAAGTGAAGGGGTTTGTAAAAAGCAAGGGAGCCAGGGAGCAAAAGGGGATGGAGGAGGAAAGGGTGGCTGCGCCAAAGGTGTTCCAGTGGGTACCAGCAAGAAAGAACCTGCCGGTAAACGTCGCAGCGTCTGCCAAAGCACCCCGCGGAAAGGTGGCAACGAGAAGCCTCAGGCTGCCCCAAAACCGAAGGGACAGCAGAAACGTGAGCATTGTGTCCAATAAAACTGGCGTGACGTGTTGAACCATCGGCTAAACCGTGCCAAAAACCACCCTTTTTTCACATTGTTTCTCCCATGTAGGGAAGGAGAAGATCGACGAATCTGCCAAGCAAGGTAAACCCTCTTGTCTCAGACCAGTACAACCCTGAACCCGATCTAGATTCAAACCTTTCTGAATATGCATGCATGTTTGGCCCCGCCTTGAAACCGATCGACTCTATTTTTTTTTTTCCGGCTCCCTCTACATCTCAGCCCCTCGCGTTACAGGCATTGGGCCGCCCGTAAGCGTGCAATAAATGCATCTAACGAAGGCTACTAGAAGAGCGAGTGTTACACCGCTCTCGTCCAAAGCACCAAGGTACTACACGCAATGGGCCGACCCGAGCAAAGTCGCTGCGACGGCACCAGGCGCGCCAAGAGGAGAGGAATCCGAATCCCCTCCACCTGCCCCCGTCACGTAGTCCCTACTTGCCTCACTCTCGTACCAATTTCGGCAACTCCACGCTTCTCTTGTCCGGGGCAGGGCGGTCTCCCCTCTCACCGATCCTTCGCGCGGGCATCAGGCAGGCACTTATGCCAATCCCTTCCCTGAGCTCCCCTTTTCCCACCAGCGTGATAGTGTGAGGGCACACGGAACTGCTGCAGAAGACGTTGATCCCCTTGGCCAGAGGGGGGATTCTTCACACCCTTTTCCTCCGCTCATGGGTGCCCTACTTGAAAGTGCGGAGCACAAGCATTTTGTTACACGGGAGGAGTTCTTGGCGCTGCGGTCTGAGATGTACGCCATGTTTGCACAGCTCGGCCTACATCGTGGGGTACCTGCCAGCTATGCCGGCGGGCCGGTAGCCCTGCCTATGGCTGGTACCCCGCCGAGCGCCGTGGACAAGGCACGAGTGCTAGTGTTGCAGGAGACAAACCCATTCCCGGTATGTGACGGGCCACATGGGGAGGGTTGGGGTTGACGTGGCAACAAGGGCGGGGTTGGGGCTGACGTGGCAGTTTCAAAGGGAACACAGGAGCGGCGCGTGACGAGGTGACGCGTATCAGGTGGGTCGGGGGTGACATGGCATGGGGTGGGTGGGTGTGACGTGGCAAATGGTGCGGGTTGTTGGTGGACGTGGCGGATGTGGGTTGGGTGTGACGTGGCAAAAGGTGAGGGTTGGGATATGACGTGGCGGTGTGAAAGGGTGCAAGGGAGTGCCGCATGACGGCGCGAGGCGTTTCACGTGGGTGGGGGGTGACGTGGCTCTTGGTGGAGGGTGTGACGTGGCTAGTAGAGCGGGTTGTTGGCGGATGCAAAAGGGTGTGACGTGGCAGAATGTGAGGGTTGGGGCTGACGTGGCGGTTTGGAATGGTACACGGTAGCGGCGCGTGACAAGGCGATGCATGTCAGGTGGGCGGGGGGTGACGTGGCATGGGGTGGGAGGGTGTGACGTGGCACGTGGGGCTGGTTGTTGGTGGACGTGGCGGATGCACGAGGGTGTGACGTGGCACGTGGGGCTGGTTGGTGGACGTGGCGGATGCAGGAGGGTGTGACGTGGCGGAAGGTGAGGGTGGGGGATGACGTGACAGATGCAGATGGGTGTGACGTGGCGGAAGGTGAGGGTTGGGGATGACGTGGCACCCTAAAAGGGTACACGTGAGCGGCGCATGACGAAGCGAGGCGTCTCAGGTGGGTGGGGGGTGACGTGGCTCTTGGTGGGGGGTGTGACGTGGCAAGTAGGGCGGGTTGTCGGCGGATGCAAAAGGGTGTGACGTGGCAGAATGTGAGGGTTGGGGCTGACGTGGCGGTTTGGAATGGTACACGGGAGCAGCGCGTGACGAGGCGACGCGTGTCAGGTGGGTGGGGGGTGATGTGGCATGGGGTGGGAGGGTGTGACGTGGCACGTGGGGCTGGTTGTTGGTGGACGTGGCAGATGCAGGAGCGTGTGACGTGGCACGTGGGGCTGGTTGGTGGATGTGGCGGACAAGGAGGGTGTGACGTGGCGGAAGGTGAGGGTTGGGGATCACGTGGCGGTTAGAAATGGTACACGTGACCACTGCGCATGACGAAGCGAGGCGTGTCAGGTGGGTGGGGGGTGACGTGGCTTGTGGTAGGGGGGTGTGACGTGGCAAGTAGGCCGGGTTGTTGGTGGACGTGTCGGATGGCGCAGGGTGTGACGTGGCAAGTTCAAACAGTGTTGCTAGTCACCATCCCATGGTCACACGGCCACCCTCATAACTGCTGGTTTCTCTCTTCCATGTCGTGTTGTATACCTTACACCCCTACACAGAACAAAGCCTACTTAGTGTGCTCTCAGCTCATGTTTCTGAACCCACCGGAGAAAATATAGTACTACCCTGCACCGGAGGAAGTGTTCGAAGCGTTCTCTGTCCACTTGTCTGTAGAAGGGCTCGAGGCAATGAAGCTGCTGTGGTTGCACAATGACAAGTCAACCATGGGAGTCTTCAACCACCAGCTGTCCTCAACAAGGTCAACTATCAACTCCACCCTCAGGCCAGCAGCATTGACCGGCATGGGCCTTGCTGATTACAGCCATCTCGTGGATAGCCTGCCCACTGAGCTACACCCAACGACCTGGTTTGACGACGATCAACTCCTAGCCAAGTACAGAGATGGTAAGTGCAGTGCAACTCGAAAACACAATATGCCCTACCATATGCCCCTTGGCAGCTACATATCACCGTGCGACGTGGCTCACCCTGACTCTCATCCCCCCATTTGATTTCTCTACAAAACCCTTTCCAACCCATACCCTCCCTGCCAAAAAGCAGAACAGTGGGCCCTCAACTGGCACTTTGATAAGGCCACCGGGACACCCTTCAGCAACCCCTTGTTCGCTTATGCGTTCAAGCTCTCCTTCAAGAGGGGCGGGGCGGTGTTCACCAAGTTCAAGAGCCGCATGGTGGCATGGGGCCTGTTTTCGGTAAGGATGTAGATATGTGTTTGTACCCCCATGCCTCATCCCCTTAACCCTTTGCCTGTACTTCACCTAAAACCCTGGTTATTAGGCCTTTGCAGTTACGTAGATAGTGACGATTGCATCACCGCTTTCAGTTGCCTCATTTACCCATAACCCACCCTCCTCATAAACCATCCACCCAACCCTACACATTGCAGATCGAATGGCCCCTTCTGCAGGATAAGCGTCGCAAGCGAATCAGTAGCCAGCCGGAGCAGAATAGGCCAGACTACCAGGAGTGGTGCGAAAAGGTCAAACAGATGATCCATTTTGCTGTCGTGGAGCGGAGGATCCCCCGCGATCCGGCTATGGGTGCGTTCGTCTTTCCGAACAAGTTCCTCGTTGACGACGACGACCTTGGAGATGTCGTCCTTGCCCACCGAGCGCTTTCAAGGCCCGCCAGTGCGTAGGCTATTTGACCTGATGCAAAGACTATTTGTTGCTAGAATGCTGAATAATGGTAAGCCGCAATAATAAATGCAATTTTGAAATCCCCAATATCCAAAATGAAGAAAAACAGAATTTAGTTCTGAATAATTTGGTTACGAATTTGCTAATATCCACAAAACGGATTGCTCCCTAATGTCATCCCGAAAAGCTCGCGTGCCAAATTGGAACTTGAACCCAGCCAAACCTTATCACAAGATGTGTCTCGGAGCTCCTGTCAGATGACTCCAACCGTCGGTCCAAATTGGCTCTCGATTTTTTTACGCAAAGACAATCGAAATCAAAATTCGTCCAAACTTGGCATAGGGTTTTTGTGATGTATTCCGCTTCAGCAGACAACAAGGCAACCAGCTCTTGCTTCTGTGAGTTCCAGGAGATTAGTTCTGTTGGTTCCAGGCAGAAGACGAAGCCGGTTTGGGACCGTCAATTTGCAGGGTCAGCAGCATGATCTGCTTCCACGTAGCCGTTGAGATAGAAAGAGGTCGTCGTCAGCGTGGAGTAGGAGAGCCCGATGTCAGGTGTGGAAATGAAGTACTGCAGGGTACGCTCCAAGTCCAGCTGGTTCTCAGCTACTGGCTTGCGGGATTACTGTGCCAGTTGGCTAGCGGTGTATGAAAGGTCGGGTCGGCAGGTGACAGAGGTGAATAGCAGGCACCTCAATTTCTGCAGGTACATTTGAAGTCATGTGGGTGATAGAGGTTTGTTGTTCAGTTTGTAGTTGGCGTTGGGGTTACGGCAGGGAGTTGAAAGTGGTGCGGGCGAGATGTTGAAGCGTCCCCTCAGCTGCTCTGCGTACTTGGAGGCTGATAGGTGAATTGCTTCTAGCGCGTAGGTGATGTTCAGGCCCAAAAACTGCTTCAAACTGATCAAGGAGTTTGTTGCAGGTGCCCGTGTACAGCAGGTCGTCGACATAAACAGTGAGGAGGAAGTAGTCGCCACTGAAGTGAAGACGATACATTCCCGGGTCGTGCAGCAGCTGCTTGAAACCGATTTCGAGCAGAATTTTGTGCAGATGCTGTTGCTAGAGGCGAGGCGCCTGCTTGATCCCGAGTCTTCTTGAGCTGACAGACTCTGAGGTCTCCTTCTTTGTAGGTGTGTGGCTGCTCCGCGAAGATGGTTGCATCCACTAGCGCGTATAAGAACAAGTTCTTCACGTCAATCTGTTGCAGTGGTAGGTGCTTAGCGGCGGCTATGGCGAGTAGGATTTTGATGGAGGTGTGGCTGCTGACGGGAGCAAAGGTTTGGACGAAGTCGATGCCGTGGCGCTGATCGTACCCACGTACGACCCAGCGTGCCTTGAATCGCTCGATGGTGCCGTCAGCATTAGTCTTTAGTCGAAAAACCCATTTTCCGCTAAGTACCCTCCTCCCTTTCACTGCTGCACGATGGACCAGGACCCATGTGTCTCGAGACTCCAGCGCTTGTAGCTCCGCATCCATCACGGCTCGCCACTCCTTGGCGTGAGGGCCGATTAGGGCCTGGCAAGGATTCTTGGGTTCCACGGCGCGCGCGAGAGTAGTGACTGACGTGTGCAAGCCAACAAGCTGTAGGCCGGACACATTGGTGGTGTATGTGGTGGTGACTTCTGCCACGTCGTCGTATCCGCTCTCGTAGCCGGGTGCTGTGGTGCTTGGCTCAGCTTGGCGTCGTGGCGGTCCTGGCGCGGGATCATTGTCGCTGCCGTCATCGTCGTCCTGTGGGCGAGGCGGTACGCTTGGGTGTTCATCAGTGTCCTCTCGATCCAGTACCACTTCGTCTTCTGGGGACGCGAAGCTGCGACCGCTGTTGACGTAGCTGTGTGTCTCGTTGCAACGTTCGTCCTTGATCCACTGCTTCAAGGTGAGCCGCTCGTAGAAGAGAATATCACGCGCAAGAACAACTTCCTTGCTGTCAATGTCGAGAGTGAGCCAGCCTTTGTGCTCGTGACTGAGCCACTAAATGGATACCCCATCGCGCACGGTAAACGAACTTGCCAATTGTGGCTGAGGTCGGCCGATATTGCACCATGCACCCCCAGACCCTCAGCATGAAGGGGTCTCCGCTTGAGCCAATCCACTTCATGTGCGGGGAAAGGTTGTCCCGGTTGGCTGTGGTGGAGAGAAGGGTGTGCAAGCGCACCGCGTGGTTCATGGCGTAGGGCCAAAACGTTTTGGGTAGGTCGGACTGGTTCATGAGGGCGCGCACTTTCGTCATGAAGGTGTGGTTAACCCTCTCTGCAACGCCTTGCTGCTGATGAGCGTAGGGGAGAGAAATCTCGTGCTTGATTCCCTTCTCAGTTACAACGCTCTCCAGTTCGTTGCTGCGAAATTCCTTGGCTCCGTTGCTCTGCCAGATTTTCAGCTTCCTCCCTGATTGGTGTTGCGTGTGTGCGAGCCAGATGCGGAAGGCTTCTGGGGCTTTGGAGCGGGTGTCGACGTTGGCGATCCACACGTGACGTGAGTGGGCGTCGATGAAGGTGAGGGTATACTTCTCGCCATTGATGTCGTCGAAGGTGAGCCAATAAAATTGCTGTACACTTTCTTCAGTTTCTTGTAACGGTTGGTTCTTGGTTC